GGCTCGGGAATAGACGCCACTCTAATTTGTTGAATCACAGTCGGGAGTCCAGTAGTCGAGTCAGAGTCGGGAGTCTGTAGTCTGATACGGGCTTTAGAGTGGCGTCTATTCCCGAGTTGGCAGTCAGGGTCGGCCGGTGCCTTGCTGCGATTGGTTGAATCATAGTCGGGAGCCCGAGTCATTAGTCGAATCAGAGTCGGGAGTCTGTAGTCTGATACGGGCTTTAAGCCTATCACACAATGCCAGGCAACAGGAACAGGGAATATAATTTTTAACGCATTGGACTGGTTGGAAGAAAATTTCCGACGAATCCAACGCGTCAAAAATTCTATTCCCTATTCCTATTGCCCGTTGCCTGACATTGTGCGATTGGCTTAATTGGTTGAATCATAGTCGAGTCAGTAGTCGAGTCAAAGTCGGCAGTCAGAGTCGGCCGGTGCTTTGCTGTGATTGGTTGAATCATAGTCGGGAGTCCGAGTCAGTAGTCGAGTCGGACTCGGGAGTCTGCAGTCTGATACGGGCTTTACGCAGCCGCCGGTGTATATCTGTGGAAAATGCCCCCTCCGGTTCCATTCCTGCGATCATCGCTGTCGTAACAGCGCGATGTAATTATTACGATAGAGCAGCCCTGCGTACGTAAATAAGCATCTAAATTGTTGTTACGTTAAATCATTTCGTACGTAATTAGACCGAAGGTTTCCTCTCTTTCTCCTTCTCCGTTTGCCGTCCTATTAATTCATGCTGTTTAAACCGGGATTGATTAACTGATGGGTCGCGCGATCTCCGCTTCGCCGCGGCTGTTAATCAACTCTTTTCAATCTGTTAAAAAATGCGCCGAACGCGTTGGATTTCGACAAAGGATCGGCCTGTTTTTTTTTCAATGCGCGAGTATGCGTTTCACATGTACGTCCGTTCGTAAACAGAAAGCCCTTTACTGGAATTCAACGCACACGTTTAATGCGCTTTCTCGAGTTTTAATTTTCAGTAACGTTGTTCCCAGTGAAAGAACTGCACTGCCCACGGTTTTTGCCTCTCTCGGCGAAAATACGTGATTTATTTATATTAATCGAGAATCGGTCAAAAGGTACCTTCGCGGCGTTAAACATCGGCTTTGAGTATCGTCGTTTTTAATAAAATTTAGAATGGGGTCTCCTTCGCATTTGGACTTTTCAGATAGCGCTCTTCTCGCGCCTCACAACTTGATATTCCGCGCGAGCCCTTGGATTCTTGAATACCGCGATACTTTTACGATCAGCGCCGTTCGATGAAAGTCTTCCTCGTAGCCTCCGACTCCGAGGCTTTACTTAGGGAGCGAGTATGCGAGCGAGCCCTCGGTGATATAAAGGCTGCCTCCTCGTAAGAGCCTCCGAGATTGCGGAGGGCTTCCGTCGCGCCTCGTATAACGCGGAAATCGTTCGAAAGTTAATTTGAAATTTATTCATGGACACCGCGGGGAACCGGAGCTCGAGCATCGCCTGCATACACAGGGTGTGCTACCCGACACCCTTCGTGGCTACGAATTCTTTGAGCGATCTGAATTTTCTTCGGCGAACCAGGTGACGCACGTTACAGATTAAAATGATCTTTCGAAGGTTGTAAAAGACTTAATCGCGAAGAAAGTTTTTCCTCCCTGATGCAACCGAAATCGCGAATGTGCAAGTGAGAGCGACTTGGTATGAAACAAAATTTCTGTATTCTCCTGATCAGCCTGAAGTCGATTTCTAAGAAATAACGTAGGCGTCAGATATTTTTAATAGGTTTGAAATATTTAAAATACGCAATGAAAAACTTTGGTGCTCGTCAAAACTTTTCAAGTTTCCCAATAATTTTGTGTGAGAATTTTATCTTCTCTGTTTACTCATAGATAAAAGTTGAAAGTTTATTTGTAAATTTTTAAAATTCTTACATAAAGATCCACGTGAAATTAATTAGAAAATAAAGTTTTACCATCTCCTCGTGTACAAAACTCAATTCTCAATAATTGTTTAAATTACTTTCAAACTTTTCAAAATTATTAAAAATATTTGTGTGTGATATCTTACTTTTTATTTAAAAAATACAGATTTATATATGTTTTATATGAGTCACTTTTTTATTTGCATGTTTATGTGGTTTTGATTGCAACAGAAAAATTGTCTTTCCAATTGACTTGTTTGTATCCTTTGAAAAATTATTTTCAATTTGTTTTACACAGATTTAAAAATATAAATGTCCATTTTGTTAAAACCCATACGAGTATAAGTGGCGTAAAGAAGAGATCGTCCGGTAAATTAACGGCAAACTTGCGAGAAGAGATTGGGTGACCTCACGACCGTTTAAAGCTAATTCACAGTGTGTCACGAATGTGTCACATGTCACGACTCACGAGTCACGACTTGCATTACATTGTGAACAGCATATCATAATTCCCAGGGAAAAAGTTAACATTTGTCATTGATTTACGTCTCTCTCGGGCGACGAATTAATCTACCGAAATAATTTTTGCCTCCTCACGAGTAAAAAAACTCACAAAGCCCCGTCTATGAGCCTAAATAAAAAAATTAATTCCACTCTTTCGAATCTGCAAAGAGAAAATCGGAATCGCCTCTCTCTTAAGTTAGGTCGGAACGTACTATTCTTGGAACAAATTAGGTTCGAAAATACCAGAGAAAAGGTCGTTTACTTTCGCTTGAAACATTTAAATAATAGAAGTTATTCACAATCGGAGTAGGATGATCTGAGTAAACTCTCGGTAAACTTGGCGTTTTTCAAAGTCAATATATTCTGCGTAAATTTGTGAGGAAGCGGTCTTTTTGTTTTTCCAAACGCATTCAGAGGTCACTTTGAAATGTAGCTACGCCTGAGAATTTTATTTTCTACCACTCGCAGTCATTTAATTTTCTTTTCTTCTTTTTTTTTATTTGCATCAAGTTGAGTTCCCTTTGTGCTCGTCATCTACTTCCTGAGGCAGGTCGCAAAGGCTGGAATTTTTCACGAGCCGACCCGTCGTCCGCGTAGTAATTGCAGAACGAGACGGGTTGCGCTCATCCACTCCCTCCATCCGGTTTTTCATTTGGCTCCTTTTAACGTCGACCTTAAAATAAACTTTGCAGCCCTGCATGCCATCTTTCCGCGTCGCACTTTTCTCCGTCGCCGAAACGTCGGAAGTGCTCGGCGACAGAGGCGGCTTTGGCGCCATATCTTGCCAATAAAATATTCACGATAATAAAGCGGCAAAAAACCCGAGCAAATATTTTCGCCTTTTTCTCGTTGAATCATTAGTCAGTTATATTACAACTTGAACTAAAATATAAACCATGGAATTATATAATGTACAATGCTCGCCGCGTGGCGTTGCAATCTGTAGACGTGGTCAGGAAATATATCGAGTAGCTGACTAGATAAGGACCACTAGTCCCTAGCAGCACTTGACATAAAAAATGGATACTCCTATCGTTGGGCGGAACCGTATCGGCGATAACGTTGTCGTCCCTCCGTATTTTATCGCTCGTAAGGTTCTATAATATTTCTCTAAAAAGAAATCTTTGCCTCAGGTCGCAGCGCAAGCCCGAGACCGGTGTCGCGATCGACGATGACCATAACACGGGCGTGTGAGGTAACGAAATGGCGAGGATGAGCAGCCCTTGCTCCTCGAGCGTCGGTATCGAGTCGATCCCTCGCAGGAAGAACGCGACAACCCGAGGAGGGAAGAAGCACAGGCACGGGCCGCCAGATGCGCTGAGGATCCTCCGGCAGGAAACAGAAGTCGGCGGGCAGGAAGAGGCGTCATTGTAAGGTCGACGAGCAACGACGAATCACGATGGACGAGATACGCGGCTCATCGTCGGCCCGCCGTCTCTCGCAGATTCTCGATCCGATCACGCGGCTCGCCAGCGACTTCGGCTCCAGCTCGGCGCCGTGCAGCCCGCGGCTGGGCGCGCGCGTGCAAGACTCGAGTGTCGGGCCCGGCGCCGCTGCCGTCGCCACCGCCGCCATCGCCGCCGGCCAACAGGGCCCAATCGCCGCAGGTACGACCACCGTCGGCGCCGGTGTCTCGTCATCGTCTCGAGCGGCGCCGAGCGGCGCCGGGACGGCCAGCGGCGCCAACGCCGGACCCGACAGCCCGCGATTGTGGCCACGACAGTTCCGACAGGCCCCGACACCACCGCCACGGCCTAGGCACGTCGGCACCGCCACCGCCGTCAGCACCGCCAGTACCTCCACCAACGTCTCCGTGAACATTAATAACAACAATAACAACAACAATGCGGGGGGCAGCGCCGACGGCGGCGCACTACCGTCGGTGGTGCACGCGAGGGACTCGCCCTACGTCAATGTGCCGAATCTCTTCTTCCACAAAGACAAGAGCTTCGCCGAGAGCGCCAAGAGCGCCGGTTACATCGAGCTTCGCGAGAAGCCCAAGTGCAGCCCGTACGACTTCACGTCCGAGTCGAGCGGTCACGTGGAGTACGCGGATAAGAGAACGTTCGTCACTCCGGTGCAGCCCGACCTGGGCTACGACATCGGAAAGGAATCGGGCAGTCCTCTCTGTAGAGGAAGATCGAACTATGACCCGGGGCCCTCCAGCGGTAGAGGCCACTTCGACCGGGCGTTCTCGTTCTCCGGCAGGCAACCGCCGGAGCAACTGTCGGCCTCACGGATATACGAAACGGGCAGATTGTTCGTCGATCCGAGGCCGACCGGCGGCAACGTCGGCAACGTCGACCTGAAGAGGGAGAAGCTGGACGTCAGGCCCAGTTACAGCACCTCCAAGAGCTTCGACGGGTACACGACGACGGTGGAGGAGCTCAACTGGCAGGAGAGGTGTCTGGAGTTGCAGCTCGAGCTGCACAGGAGCAGGAGTCAAGCGACCAGGGTGAGGGACATGCTCCGAGAAAAGGTAAGTTCCCGCTTCTTTTTCCCGTGTGTGAGTTCACTTTTTAGCTGCGCGCAAAGTAGCCCTTTCCAGATTATCGACGAATGAGATGCAAGTACCATACGTTTAATATTTAACTACAATCGAAAGTTGTAATATCGCACTGAAAAAATTTAATCTGGATAGATTCAACCAGTCGTCTGTTAGAAAATAGACGAATCAGAATTCCTTTGGGATTTACCAGATGCGTGGTGAAGTCTAGCAAACTTCTGGTTATGAAATATCTTTCATTGGTAAATTCTTATGGAATTCTGATTTGTCCATTTTCTAACAGATGACTGGTTGAATCTATCAGATATTTTTTTCAGTGCGAGAGAGATCGAGAAATAAAGTACTTATTTTAAAAATCAATGAGTAAAAGGGGCCAAGAGCCTTGACTAGGTGTTGGTGTCAAAAAAGTAAAAATTTAGTTCATAAAACATAAAAGTTACAGACGTTTCGGTCTTTCTTTAGACCATCCTCAGTGTATAAAAAGAAAAGAATAAAAGAAAATAATTTAAATGTAAAAGTCAATGGTTAAAAATTACAACGGGAACTTATAGTCAACCCAACTGGCTCGTTGCTTTATTTAAAATTGGTACAACGTTTCGACCCTATAGTTTGGGTCCTTTTCAAGTAATACTAAGTAAATCGTCTTGTCAGAAGTGAATGTTGGGCTCGAACTTAGTTCGGGACGAGCCCAACATTCACAGCACTCACATGTATCATACATTTTATAACTTGACACGTCACTTCTGACAAGACGATTTACTTAGTATTACTTGAAAAGGACCCAAACTATAGGGTCGAAACGTTGTACCAATTTTAAATAAAGCAACGAGCCAGTTGGGTTGACTATAAGTTCCCGTTGTAATTTTTATTCATCACTGGTGACCATAAGCAATCTTCCTACGTCAATGGTTAAAATTCGCTCGCAACGCAATACATAAGAAAGATGTAAAATGTAAGCCGTATTCGGATTCCTAAATACAAAAGAGGGAGTAGTGAGATGTACTTATTTTAAATCTACTTATTTCGCAGTTAAAGAGTTAATCGTTGCCCCACTGTTCTCGAAAGATAAAGTTGAGAAATAATACAATGGTGAATGATTGATTGAATAAAAGGATAGGAAGTACGTCGTTTATCTCGTTTTATCTCGTTCAATCGCATTGCGCTAGCCATTCGTGGTCGACGGTTAACGGATCTGTCGTCCGGAATTTTATCCGATACACGCAGCATACGTTAAACAAATTACGCAAGGCTTAAGTGCGTGGACCAGGGGGGAAGGGAGGAACCGAAATACCTATATCGCAGTCTGTTTAATATGCGCGACCACGCGCGCCGATTTAAACGCCGTCACCTTAGATAAGGCACATAGGGCGCATCCGCGTGGCTCGGTGTGTCGGCTTGTTTCTCGCCTCTTCAAAATGTACCGCATCGATCATTTAGCGAAACAAGCTCCCGCGGACGACAGTTAATACGGCTGTTGTTTTTGCAAAATAAAAAAAGACACTCCGCCGCACGTTCCGTGCATGTTCCTGCGCGCAATGCCAGACAATGACACGCGTGAGAATTGACTCGGGACGCGTTTGAAGAATTCCGCGAGTTTCGCGCTTGAGAAATTTTCGCAAGACTTCATTCCTAGAGAAAGGGAGACGAAAAAAATGAAGGGTAACCGCGCGCGGTTTCGGGATCGGAGGGAAAGCTCCGGTTCGATTCCCCGTTGGCTCAGGTTTGTTCAGCCATTCGTTAGACGCGTACGCGGGCTTAACGCAAACAAACTGCCTCGCGAAAGAGACGGTGGGACACACGTCGGGCCGCGACAGCGGAATGGACGTGTATGGAGCACACGCTGACGAGAATTCAACGTCAGACCGGAAATTATACGTCCGCCTCGGCGGACACGCCGTGGTAATATCGCTGACAGTTCTTCCTTTTTTTTTCACCAAGTTTTTCACAATACGCACCACCCGTCCCCGCCCGCTTATCCGCCGCGTTACAACGGCCGTTTTTATTTTTCACCGGCAGCAAACAGGGTCGAGAGCTAAACGACGAATCGGCAAACCGTATCGCGGATACATATCCGTATCGCGATGCGCGAACGGTCCAGATGATGTTATCTTTTTCCGCGTATTTTTTTGCCGCGGGGCAGATTCCGCGAACAAAAGCTTCTGGTTTTTCTATTATTCGCGGAGCTTCGCAGCGTGATGTATCGACAGAAGGGGTAGTTTGCAAACCGATTGGGTATTTTGCACCTTTTTCTCTTCCGCAAATTATCTGACAATAATTTAATGTGCAAAATTTACTGAATTACCGCGAGAAAACTATCGAGGATGAAATCGCAATTTGAACGATTGCGCATTCCGACTGTGATATTTTCCTGCGAAATTGGTTTTATTTAGTTTCCACGTTGCACAGCTAGTGCATATTCAACCCCGCCGTGTTTCCTCTTGCGGCGTAACCTTTCGCTGAAAGCGGATGCTGTTTATATTATCGAAGCGGGGAGTCGCGTGCCCCGAGCGCGTGCAAAATTCAAGACGAAATCCTTGATGTATCTTGGGGCTATCTTTCGCACGGAAGGGATCCCAAACGGATTTACGAGCCGAGGCTTTCCTACCCTCGTGTGTGCGATAATCTTATTTTGAATAGTAAACATTTTTGTAACGCAAAGCGGATTTTCGATGCGATTATTTGTGTGTCGACGTAAAATGTTTTTACGCAAACATGCAAAAATAGATACAAACGCGGTCGCGTGAATGAGAGTTTCAAGCTTAGAGCCTAAGCGATCTTTAGCGGACTTTCAAATTTCAAGATAAATCCCGTAACATCGCAAAATAAGGAGACTCACTGATATTAACACAGATAGAAGAATGATTCTGAAGTCACATAGTGCACTGATCCCCCAAGATATTGCCTTACGCTTTATTCGGTCTAAACGAGATAACTGACTATAATTGTTGAACCATTCTGTATTATAAGTTGTACTGCGTTCTCATCCTGTACTTTCGATGATCTCATTGTAGTGTTTCACTGAGGAAGACCCGAAGAAGGGTCGAAACCGAGAGGGAAACCGCTGACCAAAATCTTGTACACCAATGCCCACTAATGGGCATTACTTTATCCTATTATCTTATTTTATCTTATTTACCTTGTTTTATCTTATTTTATCTTTATAATGCCCCAGCAATGCCCAATGCCCAGACTAATGCCCAAAAAATGCCTAGTAATGTCTAGTAATGCACAGTAATGCCGCAAGTCTGTACACCACAATGCCCTCAGCGGTTTCCCCCTCGGCCGAAACGTTTGTGCTGTTAAAGAGAAATTTGGATTCTATATTGTGAGTTCCGTTCGTTTTGTGGCTCACATTGGCACTCTCTTCTTTCTACATATCGCAGAATAAGATAAAATCTTGACTTCTGTTTTTCTCTTCCGAAAAGCTCGGTTTAATATTCGCCTAATATTCATCGATCCAACAAAAGTAGAACAGTGCACAATGTGTTTGCGTAAATTCGTGAAAATTACACGTGCCTGAGCTTATTTAATACACGAGCTTATCTTCTGCACGTGTTCGCGAACACGTCGCTTATCACTCATCGTTTTCCGATGCGCACGTGGTTTAGCGCGATACGCATGAGGGCACCCGTACTACATTGTACAGCGGGTTGAATAGAGAAAGGAGAGAGTGTGTAGAATCAATTGTCGATTATAAATAACGACGCGCTGGACTGACCGTGACGTCTCATTATCTAGGCAAACGTACAATACGTTACGCCGACAGGGAGGGGATATTGTTCGAGCGTGCACATTACTCTATTCAATTCCATTTTCGAACGACGTGTACATACTGACGCCTATTAAGCGTCCCCGACGTACAGTATGTCCCAGATCTAGCGATTCGCTCTTCACGAGCTCCTCTATCGACTTGGAAGCGATCTTTCTTCGACGAAGAAAGTTTTTCCAGCATTAATTGCTATAATCAATCTCACAAATTATGAATTCAATGTAAAGTGAAAGAGACATTCGGCAAAACCGTTTGCCTCTTTCAATTGTCGTATCCTCCAGCAGTCGCTTTAAGTTCGTAGCATCGAGCTCTCGATATTTTTTGTACAGCGAAACCCGAGTCTGTGTTTGTCCAAGAATATTTGGACAGAAGGTGGCCCGCTGGATCTGGGACATCCTGTATGTACGTACATGTGTAGCTAATATTAATATTGATTCGTCGCGCGTGTGGCGTTAATGGAAGTCCTCGCGCGAATAGACACACAAGTATTCGAACGCCGATACGAATTTCAAAGGATGTCCGTCAACGTCACAACGTTCTCAAAATAGTCCTCCGTACTTGATCGCGTGTAAAAATGTAATGAATTATTTTACCGAGCGAAAGCTCGTCCATTTTAATCCCCGAGGGAGAAAAACCTCGCATTGCAAAGTCAAATAACGGTATTAATAATTATTGTTCGACGACGTTGAACTGGCTCTAAGGTGGTTTTATTTAACAATTTATTCCAACGTTTCGACCAGGATTGTGGTCCTTTTCAAGGAAATATCTACAAAATATTGGCGAAACTTATCTGTAAGCCGTTCGTACAATTGGCAGTGTAGCCACCGAGACGAAATGAGATTCGCAACTCATCTACACTCACAAACATAATAATCTCTTTAGGTTGCCAGTAATAAATAACAATGAATAAGTTTAGTCGACCGTAACTGGCACGTGTTTAATGAAATAAAATAAAAAAATACAGTGCAACGTTTCGACCAAGGGTTTAGGTCCTTCTCAAGCACATTCTAAAAGGAACAAACCGATAACGGGGATTACAGACTTATCGAAGATGCAAATTAAATTAATAGACAATCAAAATCTGTACAATAATAATATGTAAAATGAAACAAGATCACAAATAACAAGTACAATAAAATATATGGTTTGTCACAGCGGATACATAATATAACAAATTGAAAATAAACTCTAGACCAGTCAGTTA